AGTTGTAATGAATTACTATGATTTTGAAAGATAATTATTAACAATATTGTTATTGTACTTCATACCAAAATATTTAAGTTAACCAGAACGACAAATAAAAAACACATGAAACATAGTGATAGACGGTAAATACTAAATAGTCGTTAAAAATAATTTTTAACAACCGTTGTTTTTTTTTTAATAAATTTTTTACTTTTTTTATTTTTGATTTTTTATATATTATTATTAGTATTATTATTATTACTAATATTAATATTATAGCCCGCATAGCCCGTTTAGCCCGAAGCCCGCTAGGGTTAGGGTTATGTCCCTTTTTTGGTAGCCCGTTTAAATCCGGGCTTTTTTGACCCGAACCGTTTAACCCGAAACCCGCTAGGGCTAGCCCGTTTAACATCTCTAACCACAAAGAAGGACAAATTAAAGTTGCTACTAGTTACTTAATGAGGCAAAATTATTTAAATGAAATTGGATTAAATAAAAATCGAATCTTTTTTTTTTTAAATTTTTTTTATAGCCATTCTCTTTTACTGCTGCCAGTACGTCATGCATTATGCATAGGCCTATGATGAATTGATGATGATGTAGCATATATAAGTGTAGATTAGCCCTTTACACACACTTTATGGGCAAATACTTAGGTGTGCCGGCCTTAGGTGAATTGCATCCTTTCTAAAGGAGCGTGAGAGTTAAAAAGAATGGTGTTTTGTTTTTTTAAATGGGACATGTGTCCCATTTTTATTGGGTAATGAATTTCATTTATCATATTATATAAATTAAATTATCATTCATATTTTGTAACAAAAAATAAAAATAAAAATACAAAATTCATAATTTTTTATTCTCTACAAATAGAGACCACATTTGATACTTTTTGGAACATAATTGATTTATCATTTTTTACAATTAATTTATCTTATTGAAAGATTATAACGCAAATCTATAATTAGATGAATATGTTACATAATAAGATGAACATGTTATAGAGTAAGATGAACATGTCATAGAATAAGATGAAAATGTTGCATTTTCACAGATAAAATTTAGATGAACATATTCTAAAATAAGATGAACATGTTACATAATAAAATGAACATGTTATAGAACAAAATGAACATGTTACATAATAAAATAAACATGTTATAGAATAAGCTGAACACGTTACATACATAATAAAATGAACATGTTATAGAATAAGATGAACATGTTACATAATAAAATGAACATGTTATAGAATAAGATGAACATGTTACATACATAATAAAATGAACATGTTGTAGAACAAATGAACATGTTACATAATAAAATAAACATGTTATAGAATAAGATGAACATGTTATAAAATAAGATGAATATGTATTATTTTAATCTGCAATCTGTAACATGTTCATCATATTTGAAAACATATTCATTTTATTATGTAACATGTTCATTATATGTCAGTATAATAAAATAATTACGAAAAATTATGAAAATTATGAAAAAAACGAAAAATTAGTTGTGTTCAAAAACTTATTAAATGTGGTCTCTATTTATAGATAATGAAAAATTATGAATTTTGGTATTTTTATTTTATTTTTTTAATATAAATAATTAATGATATTTTAATTTATGTAATATGTCTCAATTTTCAATTAAAAAGGCAAAAATAGGAATGTGTACTACACTCTCCAAATTTTCTTGTTTTTAGGGTGAGAGAGGCGCGTGCAAATCTGCCCTGCCACACCTAGCTAGGTGTGCCATGGCACACGGTAGTACTACTGCACTTTATGTAATATTAGGTTGAGAATCTTTATTGTCTCATGATATTCTGCATACAATGATTATGCTTTGTACTTTCCACCTTTTGCAGCCATATATGTAAAGTTTTTAATTAGATTCATTATAATGATGTAATTAGTCCATGCATGAATCTAATCATTTGTATAGATGTTGCTAATTTATTTTTCTCTGTCATCCAATTTATAAGAGGAAAAAGAAAATATTCAAATTCAAGAATGGAAATTGTACTAGCTAGAATGAATGGACATAATGAGTTGCACTTTATAATGTAACTTGTAAAAATGCCAAAACGCGAAAATATTTGGACTAGGAGTGTCAGCGAGTAAAGTAGCGTTCGAGTTCTTGATATTAAATTTGAGTTTGGGTCTTTCTCGAGTTGAGCTTGCTGACAAACGAGCTCGAGTTCGGCTCTTTTATCAATATTTATTAATCAGATGAGCTTGATCCGTCCTAACGAGTCAACTTATGTATAGAATACTACATAAAAAAAATTTATTTACGCGTTGAGTTGTGTACTTGTGTTCGATTTGTTATCTAAACGAGTTTGAGTTGAACTCGTTTTTTTCCGAGCACGTGAGCTGTTTATTTAATATAATATTTATACTTTGGAGGATATGTATTTCTTAGGGGTGTTCACGGTCCGATTTTAATCGAAAAAAACCGTCAATCTGGACCGCGGATCGGTTAAAAGGTCGGTTAAAAAAGCCTTAAAAAATCCGGTGGTTAATTTTTTTACAAATCCGAAGTAACCGGTCCGGTTAGCGGATTACATGCGGCAAACCGCCGATTTAACCGGACCGGACCGACAATTATTAAAAAACTATAAAAATATCTATATACATTCAGTCATTCACTATGGTCGACGAATATAATGCATTCACTTTCACTTTTTGCCCTTTTGTTGACTTATTTTGTAAGACACTATAACTTTTCACTTTTTCCCACCTTCGTTTTTTCATTTTCAGATTTTCCCACATTCTCTTCCTAATTTTTATGCTTATGGGATGAATTGTGTATTTTTTATTTCATTATTGTTGTTTTAGGGCCAAATAATCTCTTTTAGGCCCAAAATTGAAAAGTAAAAATTAAGACCAAAATGAATAAAATAAAAAATTGAAGGTCCAAAACAAGAATTTTAGATTTAACCGATTAATCGCCAAACCGGACCGTCCAATGCGGTCCGGATTGTGGTGGTTAAAAAATAAAACCGCTCCGGTTATGGACAAGATAAAAAATTGACTGTTAGATCCGATTTAGTCATGGTTTGAGCTAAAAGCGGACCAATCTGGACCGTGAACACCCTTAGTATTTCTCAATAAAAATTGGGCCCATTAAAAAAAAAACGAAAATTTAAATTATTTGTTGCTGATTGTACGTATGTAAGATTAGAGAATTGGGGCAAGAGAGTGTGGTCCCACCAGATTAAGCGCACCATAAGAGGGTGAGCCTAGATGCACCTTAGTGGGGTTCCATCCCAAAACCAATTGGTGATCGGAGGAGTAGCCCACTAGGCTTATATACTAGACTCATTTTCCCTATAGATTCAATGTGGGACAACTCACAAGTGATACTCCAACACGCCCCCTCACTTGTAAGTCCTTCATAAGCCCAAGCCCAGAGCAGGCCGGGTAGAGATAATGACCCAGGCCAAAGTTGGCCGGTAGAGATAGAAACCCAGGCAGGAGTCGACCTGGCTCTGATACCATGTAAGATTAGAGAATTGGGGCAAGAGAGTGCGGTCCCACCAGATTAAGCGCACCATAAGAGGGTGAGCCTAGATGCACCTTAGTGGGGTTCCATCCCAAAACCAATTGGTGATCGGAGGAGTAGCCCACTAGGCTTATATACTAGACTTATTTTCCCTATAGATTCAATGTGGGACAACTCACAAGTGATACTCCAACAACGTAGCTGGTCTCATACAAGTGTGTTCGGTGTTCCTCTAATTTGACATACACTTGCACGTCGTTGTTCGGGATCTGTAAGTATTATTTTGCCCATAACTAATTTTTCATTATTTGTCCTACCAAAAAAAAAAAAAAAAAACGTAAGAAATTAGAGAAAAACGGGTGCGGTCACACGCACGTGAAATGCACCATAAGTAGGGAATGTCCAGATGAATCCCAAGTGAGGTCTCATTCAAAAACAAATTGGTGGAGGATAAACTAATTGGTGGAAGGATGAGTAGACATTAAATTTATAAATTTGGCCTATTATTTTTTATATAAACGATGTGTGACAACTTACAAGTGAATATTTTAATAGGAACCAAAATAAATTTATTTATTTTCTTTTTAATCTTTAGTTGGTTTTAAGCTGAACTGCTGAAGCTAGTTTTTTCTAACCTCTAAATGAAAAATCAAGTTTTTTTTTATTTTTTATTTTTATAACTTTTAAGTAATTTATGTGTCCAATTAAAAGTTATTCAAATTAGTTCACCTCAAATACAATTTATCAATTCATATAACTTTCCCAGTCATATGTCACCCAAAATTTATCAATTCATGATAATTTTCCACACTTTATTTATATTCATAATTTTTTTTTTTCAATGTTTGAGTAAAAGTTCACCTCAAATACAATTTCAGGCATGATTAAATAGGATAATGCTCCCTACCCATAGTGAGTACATGTTAATATGCTCATCGTAGATAGGAGAGCATTACTGTGATTAAATATATATGCTACATGCACCAACTTCACTTAATTTCAGAGATGTTAATAATTAAAATAAGATGCTCGTAGGCTCGATTTGGTCCAACTTGTTATGGTTCGAGCTGGGCTCGAAATTAAGACCGTTATATAATTTTCTCGAATTT